AGTTTTCTAATCTACTGACATTAATGATATACATGTATATATCTTATGATGTTCATTTGTACAATGATAATATGTTGTTGTTTTTAAGATATAATATTTATATCAAAAATTTATTAATTTTATAAACTTCAAATGGTACATTTGGAGGATTAATCACATTTTAAAAGAATGATGTTCCATGTCAAATACTGTTCTATTGCCAATTGTGATAATTCTGAAAGCTCTGGTTATGTAATATTGCTCAGTACAGTAATTTCCATAGACTTTCCCCCGACATGGAAATTGGCTTCCAAGACAAAGTTTAATCAAATCAAAAGCATTGTACAAGTTCACAAATGAAGGTATTGAATAGGATTGTTATAATCCCAGTTCTTTGACCACCCTTCTCACAAATACAGTAATGCATTTTTAAGTATAGTAAAAAGATGTTAACCCTTTTCAACACCAAATTCTCATTTATTTTCTTGCTAATAGTACCAGGGGATATAAATAGCTTCATCTCAATGGTTATTTTGGGGTCAGGAGATTCTGTTTAGTAAGCAGACCTTTCACTTTGTGGATGACAGTGTTGATCTGGATTATGGTTTTGGAGCCCATTGATTTCATAAATGGCCTGTTGCGAGTTTTTTATGATTTAAAAATTTCCCTTAAAAGTGGTTTCATTCAGAGCCAAAGATCTAAACTACCCATACTGCCCACTGAGAAAAGTAATTGTTGAGTATTTCAGTCATGGTAAAAGCCACTCAACAATAACATATGGTAAATCTACATTTTTATTCTTTAAGTTATGCCACATTTTGAAATGTGAGTGATAGTGTGATTAATTTCTAAAAAAAACTTAAGTGTAGAATATCCTGCTAGTGAAATAAAATTAGGCATAACATTATTCATGCCTGTTCTCCCGTCATTTCAAAAGTGAATGTTGAGCTTTGTCTGCATGCACAGTTTTTCAAATGGGAGAAAGATGAATGCAGTTTGCAATATATATAAAATATGCAATTAACACACTGTATATAAATGTTTCTTGATATACTAAAAAATATTAGTACATTCTCCATTTTCACTACTATACTGGTATTAATGACTAACTGGTATATACATACCTGATGTTCACTAATATGCTGGTAACATTACGGACTTTACTAGGAATAGATGACCCAGTACCAAGGAATACAACTTCAGGATATTCATTACCTAAAATTATGAATACAAGTTTTGTTTTTAGCATTTGATAATAAAATTCAGTTTAAAATACCATAATATATACTAATTATAGTAATAACTATTACAACTAGTTGTAAATAGTGTCACAATAACCACAGTAAATATTAGGCCAACAAAGATTACATAATATCAAAACATTATATTATATCAAAAATTCAAGAACAGTTGAATGAATCTTATTTTTCAACGTGATTTAACATATAATTTCATTTAGACATTGGATTACGTATGGCTTTATTCTTCTATGTTTGGAATTTTGCTGAAAATATAACTTTTTTCCAGCAACAGACATATCTACTAATCAATTAAAAATATTAATATTACAAATAAAATGGCAAGAAATAAATTTAAGCAATGTTATTAAATAATTAAAATAGATCCTCACACATCATTTAGTATTTTCAGCCTGAATGGAATCTTATGCCATATATGGGCTAAGTGGCCAGGTCAGGGACCCAATGGTTAAAGTACAGTCATCCCTAATTTAGGACTGCTGACAAGAGGAAGAGCAACCAATCAGCAGCACCTACTGGCTAAACAACTTCTCATAACTAATAATAAGACTGACAATCAGCTGTACAATGCACTCACAGTTGAGAGTGTAGAGTGTGTTCAGAGGTATATCATGAGCTCAAACCTTGGACCTTCTAATCCATAGCAAAGCACACTAATCACTAGACCACATGAAACCCATTCAACCCTAAAACTAGTGTAGATGAGTGTAATTACCCTATGATGTATAACAAGTATAATACTCAATGTATCAAAAACACAAATACATCATTAAGAAACAACAACAAAAAGAGCTTTTTTTTATATATCAGCATATGTTGGGTTCTCCATTTTATACAAAGTATTTATAAATCAAACATTTACTGATGTGCTTCCAAGCATTTTGCATAAAAAAAGCATTAGTTACTTATTAATATTCATTAATCTCTTAATTTTCTGTAGAATGTTTCAAACAAATGTTCCTGGAAACCCTATTCATTGTTATGACAGCATATATAGAGAAGACTGGAACAACAAAATGGCTAATAAAAAAGAGAATATCATGAAAACACAAACAAATGAGTTAAATTTATTATAATTAAAAAAAAGATAGCTAAGACCAAATCACTTTGCATTGGGTCTAGAGTACAATTAAAATCAAATATGCTTTACAGAGCTTTCAAATAAAGTTAATATCAATTGATAGCAACAAATAAGATTCTCTGAAGTTAGATCAAAAAAGAAATAAATAAAAATGTTGAATTGATAATAACAACAAAGTGTAAATAAATAAATGTTGTTCTGTTGGTAAAAACTTAAGGTCTAAGAAACCACATGAACTTCACAACTTCAAACAGAAGTAATTCAAAAATTTCTTTATACAGTTAACCCTTATCATTCGCGGTACCAACTGCAGTCCAACCCCAAAACTAGTGCGAGGCTTGTATTGTGCTGCACTGCACATCCCATGCTTTTACACCATGCACCAAAACATCCCACATGTTCTCAATCCTTGTTCAACCACGATGTTTCTGTGAAGACCCTCTCGTGTAACCTCTCCAGATCCTCCACCTGCTTCCTCTGCTGCTGCTACCTCTATTACAAATGATATGTGCAGTTTTAACCTTCACAGCAATTTCTAGAACCTATCCCCCATTAAAGGTAAGAGATAACTGTAATTACAAACTTGTAGCTTGTAGCAAGAAATTAATGGAACATGGCACTGAAAATGCTACAAAGACAAATCATATGATTGAGAGATAAAACTCAATGAGTCACACACCTAGCTTCTCGCATTAGTGCCACACCATCTCGAAACGCTGATGATGTTCGGTCAAGATTCCCCAACCATTAGGCATAATAATACATAACAACATTTAAATCGCAAATTACCAATTTGTCTTGCCTACTACTTATTGCCTGTATGTATGTGAGGAGGGGGCATCCCACAAATTGCACTATACTGAGTGATTTTATGTTCCTGCTTATTATAATACTCACTGTAAAGAACTGATAAAGAACTAGGTCAAGTCACTCAATTTTTTATATAAGATACCCAGAAAACACCAGCAGTAATTAGATTTATTATTAGAATTAACTGCAATACTGGTGATATTTTCAGTTAAATATTTTTGTGAGACCTATGTTATTATTGACTCTCTGTAATTGTAAAATCATGGACCTAAAAGAAATTTGGTGCATAAACATTTCTCAAAACATGTTTAAAAAGTCAATGTTCAATACAAGTCAACATCAGTAATTCTGGGGTTATTAATGTGTATGATATCTACATCTCAAAAAACATTCGTACTTAAACATCTACAAAAAATAAAATGTTGAAAGCATACAAAAGTATGTTTTTTGTTATTGTATTACCCATTACAAAGAGCTACATGTTAAATTATATAAGTATGTTAATTAATTTATTATTCTACTCACATTAAGAGCTATTTACCTAAAAACCTAGGCACAGTGTTTTGTTTTAAATGTTAAGAACTGTGAATTTCAAATAACAGGTTTAGTTTTATTCTTCTAACATCCATCACTAAAAACTAGGCCTGGCATAGCCAGGCGGATAGGGCACTTGTCTCTCAATCTGCAGGTTTGATTCGCGTCCCACCAAACATGCTCGCCCTTTCAGCCATAGGGCATTATAATGTGACGGTTAATCCCACTATTTGTTGGTAAAAGAGTAGTCCTAAAGTTGGCAGTGGGTGGTGATGACTAGCTGCCTTCCCTCTAGTCTTTCACTGCTAAATTAAGAATGACTAGCATAGATAGCCCTCGTGTAGCTTTGCGCAAACTTCAAAACAAACCAAAAAAACTAAAAAATAGATAGACGATTGAATGAAATATCATTTCTGTGGCCTATGGGCAACATTTTAGAGCAGCATAGTTAAATCAAAATATTTCATTATTCCAGTATCATCACTAAGAATACTTAAAGTTAAATCACTGTTTTCATATCTAATGTTCATAACTAAGAATTATTCAATGACGTTTTTTTATTTTCCTAATGACCAAAACAAAGAACTAAATTGAATCAGCTGTGAAAAAAGGTTCATTATCCAAATGTAAAAAATAGGAAAAAACTATAACTGATTCAACTTATTCCATTGCTTTTTTTTTTACCTAGGTTACAAAACAAGAAATTAAACACTTAAAACCAAACTGGCTTATTGTTTATTATCCAAAATGTCATATATTAGGAACTACACACTAACTTGTTACTTTATTGGGATATCTTTAAATATACTTGTAGAACATTTGAGTAAACCATATCTCCTATAAATCATGTCCAGTCTTCAATGCAGTGTGTAAGAACAGTTTTCTTGGGTTTTCACAAGTGTAGGATATTAGGTGCTTATTTTAAAAAAAAAAAGAGAGAGAGAGAGACTGTTTCTTTGACCAACTGTTCAAAAACTTCTATTATCAAAGTCTATCAATGGTGACAATTGAATGGGAAAACACCTACTATTCATAAAAACTGCGAAGGACAGTTTTTGGTGACAGACCAAAGGAGGAAAACAATTGTAAATACTTGTTAGGTGCAGACACCAGACTGTGTTTGAAGTGGTCAACCTCTTTACCATTTCTCAGCATCTGATTATATCTACTTTACCACAAAAAAGACATTATGATAACTATCACATGATTTCCAATCATGTGTGCTGAGCATTACTGAATCATAGGAATACATAGTTGAATGAACTTAGCACATTTTATTGTTTTAAATCTCCTAATATCTAATAAGAAGAATATTCGGTTGAATGATCCTGGTACATAGTTTATTATCCTAAATATCTTGCTATCCAGTAATATTAATACGTAGTTGAGTGAACATCAAAAGTTATTCTATTGTAAGAATATACAGTTGAATGAACTTGGTATGTTGTTTTATAGTCCTGACTCTCCTAATATCCACAATTAGTAATACACAGCTGAATCAAATGAATGCATTGCTTTACAGTCCTACTGTTCAAACATGGACATTAAATAGTTAATCAATGTTCTGATGTCTAAAACTAAAATCTACAAGTTGAGGCAACACTAAACTCTACTTTGTTTATCAACCATGTACATGAAGCTACCATACATCTTGTTCTGTTAAGTTACAGCTCCACTCTACATATTAGAGAAACTATGAATGAAACCCAGATGAAAGAGAAAAGTCATTTTCATTCTTATGCTTTATTTACTACCTCTATATATTGGCATAGATTAATTCTATTCAAGATGTGAGGTCATATCTTGTTTTATGATGGAGCAACATCATAAAACAAGTTACATAGCTAAATTGACAAAGTAAAAATTTGAAAGAATACAAAAACAAGAATTTTACTTTATCCCAGTGTTTGAAAAATAAAACAGTAAAAATCCCACAAAACTACACCCTTCATAATATATTATATATACAGATAGAGACGTTGTTGTTCTAGTCCTCATCAGTGTGTCCTTACCTTCTTGCTTGTTAACATTTGGAAAGTGATTTAATTTTGTGGCTAACTCTTTCACACACTCTTCCAGTCCTGGGCTGTTATATGCTTCTTGTACATAACTAGAAGCATCTAATTGTATTACATTTTCTCTGTAATCAGAAAAGAATGGCATAAGTTACACAGGAGTATTTATTTGGGCTACTTATTAAGCTATACAGCACTACGTTTTTTATTTGAAGGTATCTACACACAGTTATTGGATATTTTAAATCTTCACACTATTGGATATTTTGAATCACCTTCACACTATTTAAGCACTCAGAATCAAAACCAGATTTGTATATTTTACATTAAACTTATTAACATAGAAAAACTACCACAAACTCATTCTTTATCACATAAATTGACATAGGTACTTGCAAAGTCACTTCAATCCTTTAGCATAATCACTGAATTTCTATTTTTAAAGATGTACTCAACAAAAAGTACTAAATATTTTCAATAAGAAAGAACAGAGTCAGATCAAGCCTTGAAAACTATTTCACAAAAACATCTTTAATTGGAAAATTGTTAAGTTCACAAAAAATATTTTATCAAATAATGCCTGAGCACCTACTGTGCAATAAAATGGATGCTAGACATTCAATACCAACCTGTCTAATCCCTTCCTGGGACGAAGGTAGAATTTCATCAAACTCTCTGCTGGAATGGCAAGTACAGAATGCTCTATTCCATTCATTACACTGCTGGTAACATCAGAATTCTGCTTCAACAAGGAAAATATTTCAGGATGGAGTATATTTAACATGTGTTGCACTCGATGAACTGCAATACTGCTTAAAGATGGACTAGAAGAGTTCAGGACCAGGTGAATACAGCTACCAGAGAACCTAGAGCCCACCAGAGGTCATTAAATACTTAAATCAATCTTTCTTATCCTGACCTCAACCAACCATCAAATGGTATTATAGAACACAATAGAATAATTGATCAGATAAAATCATTATATTCCATGGATTACCTGTATACAACCTGACATTTAGGAATTGATTTCTGACAGATATTACATCAAATACATCAGTTACATGAGATATATTCAATAATGTTTAGAACAAACACAATCATTAAAATGTAGATCAATCCAGGTTATATTATAAAACATGTTACTTTTTATTGTGTATATATATTTATGAAATTCTATGCAAATTGTGATTATTTTATTTTTTTAATAGGAAATTAAAAGAAAAAATGTTTTAAGTCTTGTAAACAAGTACTGTTTTTATAGCTGTACATCAAAACTTTTATTTTGCACAAGCTCAAAGAACATTGCACAATAAAAATGAAAACTGATACTGAATTAGCTAACATATTCATCTGTTATTTTGCAATTCTGCACATAATTACTACTACAACTGGTTTTGAAATATATTTATATTCACTGTTTTTCACATCTACTTCATATCACAAGCTTCTTAGAGGCTGATAGTTCAAAAACTAAATGTTTTCATATGTAAAAAAAGCATATAAAGATTTTATGTTAAAATACATAGTGTAATAAATAAATGCAATATTTATTGAAGTAAAAACTGTCAACATCTGTCTTATAATCAGCAGAAGCATTAAATTAGGATAAAACAACAACTAGAGCCACAGAGCATAACAATATACACCTTGTACTATCCCTGAATTTTTCAAACTATCATCTATCCTAATTATGGAGCTATTTGGAGTGCTTACAAAAAAGAAAAACTCAATATTTTGTAGTTAGCCATCAAACTGTATAAATATCACCAAAATCTTTAATAGCTTTTATTTCTTAGCATATAAAATACTATTAGTAGAACCTTGAAGTCTTTTGAAACAACTGTATCTTCTTCAACATCAAATATTTTTCAGAAAAAGTGTTCACACAAATACACTCAAAATAAAATATAAAACTGCTGTATTATGTGCTTAATGTAATTCTTTCAAAGATAAAATAAAATTTCTTAGCATTTTTTGTAGTTTTCAATAAACAAGAATTTATAAATCATTAACTGTATTCCACTGTGCCATACGTAAATGTAACTTAGATAACTGAACTCTTAGGACAGAACATACTCTGATGTTTCTAAACTTTTTAAATTCTTATTCTTGATGTTAGTACAAAGATGTAATATACAAATAGCATAACCAAAGAAATTAGTGATATAAGAAAAGTAAAAAATATGGCTAATTTCTTCACATGTAAGCTCACTCAGAAATGAGTTTTATTAGTGCCTTTCAATTGTGTACATCAATCACAGTCTTCTGACAACTAGATTTAGCATTATTTGTAAAAATATACTACATGTAGCTCACTTTCCTATGGATTCAATGTTCACATTGTGCTATTATAAAAGTGGTAAAACAGCTTTACATTCTTATTTCACATACTAAATTATAAACAAATGCTAAACTTAAGATATTTACCTAAAAATAGAAAATCACACATAAATGTCACATCCAAAAATAAGTAATTTTGTTTCTATATAGACAGCTTTTAAGGAAAATTCAGAAATGAAATATAAAGATATTTTAATCCTTCCACAAGAACATGTAATCGTAATACTTAAATACACTATAAAAATTACAATCTTGTCTGTAGCTATATATAGAAAGAATATTACTCAGCTATCATTGACACAAAGCATTTAAAACAACCCCAGAATTAAGTGCAGTACTTAAAAAGCAATAAAAACATATATACAGTAGCTTTTAAGAGCACCTATTTTATGTTTCCAACAAGCTAAAAGCTAATAATGTACAATATATATATATATACACACACACACACAAACAAAAAAAAAAATGAGAACTTCAGCAATTAGTTTAGGCTATTAAACTATTATCTGTATAAAATATTACAACTACAAAAGATCATGGATTTAACAACATATACAATAAAAATGAAACAGAGTGCAAACTAACATTCATAACTAAATTTACATACATCCTAAGAATGGGTTGGATTCTTGAACTGAATACTAAATGAAACTATTAAAACTTACAAAATATAAATTTCAACATAACACCAATCAAATACCAAAACATGAATATATATGTATGTGCATACAGAGCTTAAAATATCTATCACTCATTGGTCAATGACTAACAAGTAATGTGAAGATCATCAATGATGGCAGTACCACATAGGATATGATGATCAATAGCATTACTCACATCAGACATCTTGACCTAAAGCTTTAAAATATTTAAGCATTGCGTTATGATACAAGTATACAATCTTAATATAATTAGGTATGAATATAACTTATACTAGGTTTTATATATATTCTGCAGTGGATCTTGCTCAATTTACATGTAAACTAAAGGATCAGCTGTAAGACCATAAAGAGAAAAATTATTTTCATGTTCAGGTTAACAGAAACAATGCAACACCACTTACCTACCAAATAATGAGACATTTAATTTCACAAAAGTAAATATGTGATGTCACGTGCATTATGTGTTTAGTTTGCTTCGCCCCTTATGCAAGAACTCACAGCTAACAACTTCATGAATGCTTGTTTTAGTATAGTTCTGCTCATTCAGGAAATTAAGTGTGTGTACAGTCTTTGTATACCAGCAGTAAACATTAAACTACCAAAAACAACAGTCAGACAGATGTCATTTTTGGTTCATGTTTCAAGAAGACCTCTAAAGTATATGATTTTTAATCCTATCCTTCTGAGAGTATGGTAGTGGATGGATCGGACAAGTTCATATATTTCTATACTTCTCGTAAAACAAACACAAAAATAATTTTTTAACACACTAGTAAGTCAATTTCAAAATAAATTTTGAATATTTGATGTTTTAATGCAACTATAAAACAAATAATCAAATTATCATTACTGGTAAACCATGGCATTTAAAGATGAAGCAAACTAAGATAATATAATTTCAGGAAACACTAAGCCTCTTTCAAAATTAGTACCATAGTCACATCCACAAAAAAGAAGTATTTTCTAAATTCCATAAAAATACCCTCCAAAACATATATAGTTTCCAATTATTTCTGAATTGAAAGTTATGAACAAAGACCAGAAAAGTAGTTGGAAATTAATCTAACACTTTGTTCTTGAAACTAAAGAGAATGCTTTTAGTTTTACCAGAAATGATTACAAATACACTACAATTTATTTCAGAAAACTCAAATGCTCTATTTTAGAAGTTCAAATTCATAGATATCCTTTTCACTATCTTCTTACTTTAGCAGCCAATCCTGATATTTGGGGTGAGCCATAACATCTGATGGTGTAAAGTGGACAACTAACATTGCAAGATTTTCATCAGATGATGCTGTCACTTGATGAGCTTGAAATTCTTTATTATTTACCAATGAATCTACAAAGTGTTCAGATGGACATTCTACCACTACAGAAAGACAACAGTAAAAATGAATATGTTAGCAGATAATATAACTGATAACTACAATGCAAAAGATATACACATGTATTTAATTTCTTTTGGTACTAACTTCAAATTTCAGTAATAAAATCATATATTATACATACAAGTGAATTTCTACAAACCATTAACTTATTTCAGCTCATGAATCTTTATTTTTCATTTTGCATACAATGTTAACTGTAATAATGAAATGCATCCTAACCAAACTAAAAATATTCTTTTTAAAACACCAAGGGATTTATATGCAATTGAAATAATAACTTTTATAACTCTCAACTAATCTTCTTCAAAAGTAGCCTAACCAAGAAAATGATCTATTTTCAAGTAATAAAATAAAATTATATGAACAAAAGAAAAGCACACAAAATAGCGGTACTAACCAATAAAAACTGGTCCAATTTCTTCAGGTGTAACCACATCTGTTGACTTTACCTATGAAAATGTTGTATAACTTACTATAGTAATATACAAATTCTTCCTAGACATGCCACACAAACTGAATATAAAGGGATTTAGCCTAAATACACTGACTAGCCATATTAATAAAACTGATGACATATATCAATATCCACAATTACATCCAAGATTCATTATGTAACAGACTCCATAATAGGTCACAGGATACCTTGTCTCATTGTAACCTATTGACTAAGATTGTGGTATGCAAATGATACATGTGGTGTGAATTTCATGATATACTGATCACAAATTTCAAGCTCATACTAAATATGCTTAATGGGATTAAGATCAAGCAATTGTGCTAGCCAAGAAAGACAAGTAAAGTCATTGCCAAGCTTTTGACAATGTGGACAAGTGAGGTATATTGTTGCATTTCATCTATAGTTTTTGTAAGGGTGCAAGTACAGCAATAAAGATTGGACATGATCAGCAGTGTATGAGTAAACTCCCACATTATTTGTTCTTTTAAAATAATCAAAAGATCCAACCTTGACTTGCAAGTTCTCCCCATACTATTATAATCACCTCTAGCAGCTTGCTCTGTTGGCATAGTACTTCTCCATATTTTTATTTTACCTTCAGTCCACAGTTTGCACTCTCATCACTACTGAAGCTGTGCTTTTTTGTTTACATCTGAAGTAAGCAATTTTTGGACAGGTTGATGCTTTCTACATGACATATTGTTTTATGTCTTTCACACAGTAAGGCCAGAGATTGTTGAAAAATTGTAACGTTAAAAGAACCAATCAACTAAGACACAATATAACACATTACACTTTAAAAGAATGTTCCGGAGTTGGAGGCTATTGTTTTTCACAGAAGCAGACTTCTTACCTATTGACTTTCACCAGTGAAGGATTTCTTTACAAGTACCCATTATAACTTCTCTTTTAACTCTCTCGCTACAGGTTTGGTCAATTCAGCCTAAAAATTGACCCAAGTTGACCTTTAGATTCCATACTATAACTTCTAATATTTTGCAAGCTTTCAGTAAGCATTATGGGTCATTTGTACACACAAAAAAAGAGAATTTCTAATGAAGTATTTTCACAAAAAATTTCTCCATGAATATATACAGTCAAAGTGTTGACTGCACAGAGTGCAAAATGACTTTCACGTTAATATTAAAAATACTTTTCTTCATCTGAAAAGTCTCAACTCTCATTTATGTAATCTCTAAAGCCTCCTAAATCGGTACGAAAATACACCTTCTTGGTGGTCGGGATCCAAACTGGGCACTGACATGACAGGTAGTGCTAAGGGTGCACAAATGTACCCTTAATTTGAATAAGTAGTGAATTAATGCTGTATTTCCTATACGAGAAGTTTGGAAACTCTGTTCTCCACAAATGAGAAGTGTAAAAACGCTTGTACAATTTGAAGTCATTCTAGACAGGGAAAAAAAGGTTATTTAGGTTCTTTTTTTTTTCTTTTTTTTTTTGGTGTTTATGAAGTTGATCAAACTGACAAACTTTGTAGAGGAAATTACATAAAATAAAATTTTACTAAACAAATGTTTGAAATTTCTTCCTTCACCACTACTGAATTGCATAAATTTTCTAGTGGTTCAACAGCAAGCTAAACAGTTTTAAGCTCGTAACAGTTTTATTGTTTTATTGCATGTTGAGCCCTGCCTAACTAATATTCCTGCCATAAAAGTTGTAAATTAATTGGCAAACCTGTAGCTCACATTACCCTATTGAATTGCATAATGCACGGGCTACTTGCAAGTTGCTTTTGAGCATACCTCATAAAATTTTTTCATCATTATTCTATATTTTACCTAATCTAACCTAAAAAGTTTGTAATTTTTTACATTTTATTTAATTTTATAATAATAAATAAAAATATACATGAAAAACAAGAAATAAAGTACTTACCTTGGTCTTTTTTTTTTGCTGTTGACTATTGATGAAACTTAACTCTATCTTTTTTATACTAATGGTACTATTGCACTTTATGATATTATATTTAACTAAATAACGCACCAAAGAACACAGAATAATAACATGCAAAAAGCAGACAATGTCCTAAAACTATCACAATTTTTCTGGCTTTCTATATATATGCAACAAGAGCCATTTAAAATTCAGCAAAGTTCATTGATGTGTTTCCTATGGCAGTAAAGTTTGAAATGGAGAGGAAAAAGACAAATCTCTGTAGAGAAAACAATGTAATATAATATGTCATTTCATAGATTAAAACGTTGGCTTTTTATTGATTATAAATAATATAGTATTAAACATCAGAGAGAACTACTGGCAAGTGGACATGGTAAGAGGGGTCGTATCTTCTATTTTATGGTTCTGCAACCAGATAAGATTGAAGGCTATACAAATTATGCTTTGCCCGAGCAATGAAGACATTATAATGAGTAATTTAAGTTAAATTTCATACTTCTTGGAGGGGTGGTAAATAAGAGAAGAAGGGTACCTATAGAGCATATGTCACAATTCTCATACTAGGGGAAATTCAGGATTTTGTTTAAATATTGCCTGATAAAACAAAGAACTTACAACTTATATAATATTAAAATTTGGATTATTAGACAAGTTTATAGGCTAGGTTTATCCATATACCTTGATAAGATAGTAGTTTAATTAAGTTTTGAATGTAACTTAGTAACTTTTAGGTAAAATGATATAATATGATGAGAAAGAATATTTTTCTTCTCTATTCTTATACCACATACTTCATTGTACTATAAATTACTGGTTTTAACAAGTTGTAAAAACCTATATATAAGACTGTGTACTGGTAGTACAGTACTAAGTAAAATGAGAAATCAATAACAAAACAAAATCAATAATTCCTATTCTTCATATAAAATGCATGTCGTATCTCTGTAGCTTTGTAACAAACTGTTATACACTACTTTATATTCATATACACACAGTAGTCAACATTTGCTGGGGATCATGTTTTATTTTGAGTATATGTCAAACACCTACCACAATGGTATGTATAAATTGAACATTTTACAAAGAAAAACATTTGGATAAGTCATTTTTACTCTTTATTAAATTCTGTAACATTTAACTTGGATAACAGAGCCTGAGGAACTGATGCACCCTGATGGTACAGTGTTAACAAGAAAAATATCAAAATCAACAGTCATTGAAAGAAATTTCCAATTCACAGTCAAGATGATTTTTGTAGTCTGTGTGACCACCTTGAGCATTAATGACTGCTGCACAACGTCTGCACATGCTCATGATCAGATTAGTCAACAGTTGTGGAATATGTTGCCATTCTTCAATAAGAGCAGCTTCCAAGTCCTGGAGCATTCTTGATGGGTCTTGACAAGCTTGTAGCCTTATCTGTAGCTGCTCCCAAATGTGCTCTATTGGGTTGGCTGGCCACTCCATCCTGGGAATTCCTTCAGCTTCCAGGAAGGCAGTAACTTCCCTTGCATGGTGTGGATGCACATTGTCATCCATAAGCAGGAAGTCTGGCCATGTTGCACCAACATATGGACGAACAATGGGTGCAAAGATCTCATCTGTGTATATCAGATCGGTGAGACTTCCATTTTGGATGATTACAAGGTTGGTATGGCCTGCAATTGAGATGCCTCTCCACACTATGACTGAGCCTCCTCCAAAGCGATCATGTTTGATGATATTCTGAGGCAAATTGCACTCACCAGGGTGTTTCCAAACTCTCCAGCATCTGTCAATAAAGTCCACATAGTAGTGGGATTCATCAGTGAAGAGTACGACCCTCCATTGTTGCACAGTCCACCTCCTGTTTTCTCTTGTGCCTGCCTGTGCTGTTGGCTTAAAGGAACATGAACGGCAGAACATCTAGCTCTCAATTGAGCTTTGTGAAGGCATCTGCACACTGTCTGTGTAGAGATTTGGACTCCTGTGGCATCTTGGTGGGAGTTACAGAGGTTAACAGCTGGAGCAAAGTGATTCCTTCGATCCTGGATGGTCAAGTAGTGGTCTTGTTGTGGAGTTGTTAGTCTTCTCTTTCCTCCACCAAGTCTCCTATTAACTCTGCCAAACCATCTGAACCTGTTCCAAGCCCTGGACACGACACTTTGGGATATGTCAAGAGCAGCAGCAACCCTGCATTGAGTCATGCCTCCCTGCAGCATCTTAACAGCCCCGTTAAGTCCTGCAGGGGAAAGATGATGCCTTTGACCTAAACGAGGCATTTTCTGCACAGCATAATCTCAATCAGACCAATTTTAGCATGTAATGATCAGTGATATCAAATTAAGGAACTCACAATTTCACTGTATGAGCTTTCAATTTGGGAGTATAGTTGGAAAACAAAACCAGGATCCAAGCAAAGTCACCCAGGCAGAAAATTTGCATTTGGCAGACAATGTCCAGATAATGGATTTTCAAAATGTCTTTTTTTAGAACTGACTTTTATTAACATTAGTGTACCTGTTATGTAAAAACATGATCCCTAGCAAATGTTTACCACTGTATTTCCAACAAAAAAAGTTTATGTTTAACCATTTCCCACTTCTCTTAATCAAGGATGCAAATTAATACACAACATAAAAGTTATACTTTGCTATTCAAACAGTACAGAAACAAACTTACAACTTTCCCATTTGGTAGAGTGACATTATTTCCTTTCTTCAGTTCTCCAAGTAAAGGACCACTGCCATCAAAAAGGAATTTGTTATATGCTAACACATAAAAATATGTGATATTTATTAACAGAATGAAAATCCTACAATTCATTACATGATTTCAACTAGTGCTGTGAGCAAGTATTAACACAGCTAATAAAAACATATATATACAGTGAGAGAAGTTGTTATAAACATTTAGAGAAGAGGTGAGCACTAAACTAACCAACAGGCCATACATGGCCCACCAAAACCCCATAGGGTCAGCAGACTCAATATACCAGTCATAAGCCAAAAGCTACATACATGAAGCGTCACAACATACAAAATATACTAGTCATAAGCCAAAAGCTATATACATGAAGGGTCACAATATACCAGTCACAAGTAATACATATAACATAATAAAGTTGTAATAGCTCTCTCTACTAAATATTTAAAAAATAATGTATATAAAAACATGAAACAATCAAAGTTTGTTTAATTTCTTAGCCTGTTATCATCACTAAGAGCTAGCACTAGCTCTTGTAATCTACTTGGGTTGTCATGACATGTTAATTTTTGTAATCGTGCATCAAATAAAAATGTTAAGTTTATCAATGGAAAACATTTAAGAAAGTAAAATATGTTTTATCTACAAAACCGTTTATGGATAACACTTTTTTCCCCACTATATATAACACTTTCTGGAGAGTTGTACAAACTTGCTATATTTCCAAACACACTAAACTTCTTTCTACATTTTCCAGCTAGCATTAAACATTGAATATTTGTTATAAACATTTCTGTGTAGGTCATGAAAATCTGCCAAAACAAGATACCAGTTTGATTACTTTTTTAAGACAGAGAGATATACTCCACTATGCATTTAGTCTAAAATTTCTGTATAAAAAAGTATTTGTTTCTTACAAAACAACTTTAACAATACTTTTCTTTTTTTTTACTGTTTATAACAAATTATAAGAATATTATATAGATCCAAAAACAAAGTTATGTTTTGTCATACAAATAATTTCTAGCTTTATATAACTACTTATGTATACAACAGAAAAACATATTGAGTCAATTAAAACTTTAAAATACTACTAAAACTAATTATCTTACATCTCCATCAACATATTCATAAAATTCACTAATAAATAAGACTTAGAAAATATAAAAATAAAATACTTACGCTGGTACACCATGCTCAACACATTTTTCCAATATTAAAGTTCCTGCCTTATTATGAAGCTAATGAGGAAGAAACAGAACTTTGAGAAATAAATGATATACATATTTTGAATTTGTAAATGGTTTTGTTATATAAATCTTAACTGATTGTTATTTGTAATTAGGTACTCAAAGTTTGGCTGATACTGTGGGTGTTAGGTTTTGGTTGACATAAACATTTTATTTTTCTTCTTTGTAATCCAATTAACACTAGCCTAGTCAGAATGTTATATAAAATGTGTGAAAAACTATCAACTACATAAGTGTGTATGTTACTGTCAGAGTCCAGGCCTTGACCTTAACTTTTGAAGGCACTAACAACTGGTTAAAGTTTTTTTCCCCCACTAGCAAATTTGGGAATTCTAATAGTAACAATATGATTCTTCTCTAAAATTAACTGTCCCATAATTAACAAATGTTTGTTTATATATATATATATATATATCCCCTATTTTAAGGCTATTTATATGTGCATGTGACACATTCAAGTGACAGTTGCGAGTAGGAATAATGCAATATTTCTGTGGTCTTAATGAAGTCTAATTTCTAAGATATTTTAGTATTTCTATATTTACTTCAATTTATTTTTATTTATAACAACCACTCATCTTTCAGATTGTCGTGGTGAAGAATTTGAGAACACTGACAATAAATTATCTTTAATGATACACGTGAAACACGAGTACAATACGTGAACAAGGGAATAATCTTTAGAATATAAAAAAATAAGCATTACAACAAACTAAATTTCCATATGTTTTAATTTCCAAAAGTTCTATGGATTTCTGGCTTACTTATAACTTAGAACAAAGGGGCAAAAAAAATTGTTCTTAATTTTGCTTACTCCACTAATAAACCTTGTTTCAGAAGCTTGAATGAAAGTGTACTAATATTTTCATAAAAATTCTTTGTTACACACATAATATATTTGAATCCTGAAATTCAAAAAGTGAAGCAGATACTTATTATTTGATGTGAATCATGAAGTCTCATAAATGTTGAAAATAACTAAAAAAGCAAAAAAAATTAACTGGTGATCAACTGTTTATATGTGATGTACAAGCTTATAAGGCTAAACATATATAACTGTCTATAAAAGGAAGTTAATACTGTTAAAGTTTTATAATAAACATATTCCACACGTTCAAGATCCAGAGAACAAAAATTCATAAAAAATATATGCAAAGATCCAACATAACACGCACCTTCATTAAAAAACATATGTAAAGGATCCAACATAACACGTACCTTCATAAAACTAATATAGTAAGGATCCAACAATAACAACGTACCTTACTACTTAAAAATTAATATAGTTAAGAGTACCTAACATAACAACGTACCTTCCTATTA